TTAACTATAGATTACCAAAATAAATGATTTTATTTTAAGTGTTACCTCATCAAAATAATATACTTTATTTGCTGAAATTTTATGTCCCATTTGAAATACTATTTTATTTGAATTCTGAAGAATCTATTATTTAACAGGTTGATCGCCACGTCACCCATATATGGGTGACTATACTTTTCACTAAAGAACTAAAAAAATTAATTCTGAGGGTTAAGCATAAAAGGAAACGGATTTAAATGAAATTCACGAGTTTCGATGAAGTTACAAAAATAAATACCACGATAGATATTTGATTACGTAGTCTGCGATAGTCTAAGTAATATTTAATCCTAACGGAAATTTTCAAGAATATTTGAACTGACAGTCAACGTGTTAAAATAGTATTTAAAATATTTTCTCAACAAATATTACCCACCTCTGCTCGTATCTCAGTAATTAATAATTACGCGTCTGTCATTCGCTCTACTTCCTCTGATAAGGTAAATTCGTCGTACATCCGATTCTCAAGAGCCTCGTTTGGACACCTCCGCGTTAAACTCATGGGTAGCACGTGACCAAACTCAACGCGTGTGTCATTAGCTACCCGATAACGGAGCACATATCTGTCGTTATCGCTAATTCAGCGAAACCAGAATATCCACACATGCACGCGTACATGGTTCGAATTCTTCTTACGCAGTCAGAAAAGGACGGGACGGGACGAATTGATTCGCGATGCAACAGTTTCTCGCGTGGTCGCCGAAACATCGGAGACACGTGTGAAAGGACACGCTGCGCATGCGCGAACGCAATATATGCAATGATCGAATCGAAATTCCGTTGGATTGCTGAATAGTTGATTTTTGAGAGGCGGTTGTTCGAACGAAAAGATCGGCAGGAAACGACGAAAGAATGAGCCTGTCGCCGGTTGCCAACAGAAGTTTCCTCCACGGGGATCGTAAACAGTATTCGACCTCTGATAAGATCGTTTACGCGACACTCGACAGCCTCGCTTTGAAAAGGGCACGGTTGCCTCTACAGTTGTTGCCTATCGATGGAAACAAAGTGGTTATTGAGAATGCTGGCAAATCAAAGAAGAAAAAGAAGAAGAGCGTTTGCGACGATGCGACCGCGAGATCCAAGTCGAAGGTTCGTGTTTGGTTGTTACTTAAAATATTATTTTATTGGAATTATGTTTACAGGACTTGTTAGCTTAAATGGTGTCGTATTTGAAATATTTTCTCCTCAAATGTTACGTAGTTGCAACAGAAGGTGTTTGTAAGAAGGAATTGAGAAAGCTCGGTAGTCGATCGGTATGGGTGTGGAGAACTCGAAATCACGGGAAAGCATCGGGTGGACTCGTAAACCGGAAAGTACCGTCGTGAATACGCTATATCCTACTTTCGAGAATAAGTTTTTCCACGGTACTTCTGATTTGGAATACTACTTACGTACTCGCCATACGATTACTTTCATTAGTTTTGAATTTATTAGGTGCAGGTATCAGTTCTGTACCTTCCTATTCAATCAGTTGTTGTTTATTTTTATTTGTAACCCTGATTTAAACAGAAATATGTTCTCGTCATTTAATTACGTAGGACCAATTTTCTAAGTTCTGTAACTTTCTATTCAATCATTTGTTATTTATCTTTATTTGTAACCCTGATTTAAACAGAAATATGTACTCGTCATTTAATTACGTAGTACTAATTTTTTAAGTTCTCAACCTGATGGCCGTTATAATTATTAGCTTCCTTGATTTTGAATTTATTAAGTGTAGGTATCTGTTCTGTACCTTTCTATTCAATCATTTGTTGTTTATTTTTATTTGTAACTCTGATTCAAGCAGAAATATGCACTCGTCATTTAATTACGTAGGACCAATTTTCTAAGTTCTGTACCTCTCTATTCAATCATTTGTTATTTATCTTTATTTGTAACTCTGATTTAAATAGAAATATGTACTCGTCATTTAATTACGTAGTAGCAATTTTCTAAGTTCTCAACCTGATGGCCGTTACAATTTATCTACATATACGAACTTCAGTAGTCATGCAGTTTTGCTTATTATTCTTTTTCTAACAAGTTGCAACTATAACAAATAATTATAACAACTGTAAACGAATAATAGTAAGCAAAATATTGCTCTGCATGTAACGTCCATCAGGTTGAGGACTTGGAATTAATTTCTACACCTAATATTTCTTCGAGTGCACAAAATATTCGAATGACAACGTATGCTTTATTATTGTATACAATTTTTCTTTTATTCATAAATACATTATGAATCGAAGAGTGTTGCGTGACTAGAGAAGGAAATGCTGCTATAATATAAGACATATCGCAGAAATGTATGTTCGTACATGAGGGGAGTCATTCATCATCTTCTATTAAATCATCAATTTCACTCGCCGCAATGGTCCATTCAAACGCGTATTGCGATAACAGGCTGCTGCCAAGATGCAATATTTCAATACATCGTCAGTACTCGCAAGTACTTGACGATTCCAAACTCGTTCGAATACCTAGATCCATATTCTCGGGGAATTCGTGGCTTCGCTTAAATGATGTCGCGAAAATACTAAAGTATTCCAAATCGTACTCGATAATTCGAAAATTCGAATAGCTAGATATTCTCACTCGCGGCTTCGCTTAAATGATGTCGCGAAAATACTAAAGTATTCCAAATCGTACTCGATTATTCGAAAATTCGAATAGCTAGATATTCTCACTCGCGGCTTCGCTTAAATGATGTCGCGAAAATACTAAAGTATTCCAAATCGTACTCGATTATTGCAAAATTCGAATAGCTAGATATTCTCTTCGCTTCGCTCATTCGAAACGTCGTTCGTGAAAATTTCTCGGATCTCTCGCTATACGTGATTCGCGTTCGAATGGGCCCGAAGGTCGTCGCGATATTCCCTCTCACCCGAACGGATCGAACGCAGATCCACGAATGGCGGGACTGTCTTTGAAACAGTTACGTTTTCTATCGCATTCCGCGAAACGATTTTCTACAAAACCGTTAAGAATGCCGTGGCGTCAAGAACAAGTTGTTCGTCGCGAGGAGATCGTACGTCGAACGCAGATGCAAACCTATTAAATCACGCCGAACGTTTCATTTAGGTCGACGGGACGGCTGTTCTACCCGGCCAGCACGTTGGAGACTTGTTGGGATCCACGACGCCTAACCAGGACGAAATGCAGTCGAGGACTGTCGAAGAGGTATCGAGCTCCGTCGTCGAACATGTTGGAAGAAATCCCACTCCTCCACAGCAAGTCGATACCGATAACAGCGCAGATAATACCGCGATAAAAGTTGCAGATTATGATCCAATTGATCAATACTCGAACAACTCATCCAACGATGAAAACGCGCCGCTCTTCGACTTTGAACATCTGAACGACCGAGCAGAATCGGTATCATCGTCCGACGACTACGAGAAAATAGAGTTGGCGCCTAGAGTCGAGGAAGTGTCCTCTAACATCCACACGGAATCGAAAGAAAAGTCTTCGTACGCGGATGGCGTGTTTCTAAAGTCCAAGTCCGCCATCGACCTGACCAGGAACAGTTGTTTGGACGCTGGGTTGGGTCTGGAGGAAACATTGGTCGAGGAAAAGTCGATATCGGAGTCGCCAGCTGCCAACGACGACTGCAATCTCGGCAAGAAGAAGAAACACTTTGCCAAAAATGTGCTGCATTTCGTGCCTGAGTACCTCGTGAGGGGGCCGAGGGCCACGAAGAAGAAGAAGAAGAGCAATCTCAGCGTGTCGCTGACTTCCCTGAAACCGAGATCTGTAGACGCGAAAAGCGAAATGAGTTACGAGTCCAGGTACAAGTCGAAGAGTTTGTCCAAGGACAAGTTGAAGGATCTGAAAATCTCCACGCCGACGAACTTCGTTCATGTGGCGTCTGCTACCAATCCGCGCCTGGTCCTCAACCAGTACGTGGTGGGATTCGGGTTGGAGCAAGTTGTAATTAAACACGCGGAAAAGTGTGCCACGTTGCCTCTTCTCATCGGAAAGAACGAGGATACCACCGAAAGTCTGGGGGGGCAACGATCGATCGTAGCCGAGAAAATGCCCTTTCATGGCTCGTCGACTCATGGTAAGCCAAATTATTCTCGCTTGGCTGGTGATGGGACTGACTTCGGCACGGTAGTGCCTCGATTAGTGCAGGAATATACTCTTTAAAAGACTGCGGACTGTTACTTTCATGAGCCATAAACTAATTACGTTCGTAAATCATTTCAAAGTGTGCAATATGCGGTCAGATAACGGAGACATTACTTATCGATTCTGGCCCTGTATCATGCTATTCCTCGATAAGATTGTTGTTGCTTTTTTTTTACACGCTTCCTGGTTATAACCGTAGAAATATAGAGAGAGAGTAAAAGATACATAAACCTGCCTTTAAGTGGTAACGCTCAACTATTAACTAGGGATGTTCGATTCCGATTCGATTCTTTAGAAAATCGATTCTTTCGGTAAAAAATTCGATTTTCGGAATCGATTCTTTGGTATTCGATTTTCCCCAGAATCGATTCTTTCATGTAAGAATCGAAGATCGATTTTTCTTAACAATTAAAGCACATTCGCTCCTACGTTACTATTCGAAAATAGCATGGGAATAGTGATGAAAATATAGAGTGACAATGTAGAGTCTCTGCCTCTGGTGCAAGAGGACGAAAAGTAAAAAAATAAATGATCGATTCTTTACAATAATCAATGCCGAGCGGAAGAATCGTATGGGAATCCGTTTACGAAAATAAAAATAAAAAAGGAAACAAAATAGCCGATTCTTTTTAAACCGATTCTTGCAGAATCGATTCTTTGGTTTCGATCTTTAGGAGGAATCGATTCTCTCATTCCGATTCAAAATCGATTCAATAATCGACTCTATCCGGTGAATCGAACATCCCTACTATTAACGCTAAACCTACTACGGCCAAATAGATGTTTTCAAACTTTTGTCTAGAGTTCTTATATACAATATATCAATTATAAACAGTTTGTAAGAATTCGCCGATCGGCATCCTTTTGGCGGGACACGCGCATTGTCGCTCTTTTGTTTAACAGAGCGTCGTCGACAATCGTTGACGAACAGTCAGTCGGCCGACGGATTTCATGGGGTTCGGTCGTTCCAAAGAAATTCATTTTTACTAGAGACTTGTGTTAATTCATATTTCCATCTTGAAATATATTTGCATTCAATTGAAAAGTGTATTTAACACAAATCATTCGGCCACTTGCACTAGAAATATTAGGTCGTCCCATAAGCTCGTGCTGAAGACTGTGTCGAAATTTAATAAAAACACCACAGAAATTTTCTAGTAACGGTATAATGACTATGCGAGAGTGGTGAGAAACTATTGTGAAATGAGACAGATTACCTTTTTCTTGCGACACTTAAGAGTATGTTTCACATATTAATTTAAGAAATAGAAGTATTAATGCCACGAACTTTTAGGACGACCTAATAGATAGGAACGAAATGTCGGTAGGCTTAGTGTTAAAATGAGAAAATAAGCCGTGGTTACGTTATTAAAACCAAAGTGTTAGTGTTTATCTGTCTGTATAGAGTGCTTCGAGCCGTCGATCATAACCGGAATAAACGCATAAATTCCAGGTAAATGCAGCACTGGGCTGGACGAAGCGAACCTGAGACAAGAATTCCTTCGCGAGCTGCGTGAAAGATCGGCAAAAACATTGGAGTTCAGCCAGCAGGTGAAAACGAGCGAAAATCGAGCTGGCGCGCGCCAAAGGAAAAGATACGAGCCGCAATGCGAGCCGACTTCGCGATCGCCGCGTGCCAATTCGAGTTTTCTATGGAGCAGCCAAACGAAGAACCTTTTACAGAATTCAAGACTCGAGGCCCCACTATCCGCGACGTTCGAGGACGTCGATGGACAGGACTACGACGACGTTGGACCGTTGACGTTTTCCAATCAGGTGATTCATGCGTATATCGTCTCTTAAAAAGCGCACAAACTCGTTCTTTCTTTCATGGTGCAGAAACTAGGATTACTATCATTCGTATAGATTACTTTTGGGGAAATGTCAGCTGTAACTGCAATATTTAATATCGATATTATTCGGTGTATAAAGCAGAGAAAATGTAATCAAGTTTCAAAGGCAGTATAAATTTTAAAACGTAATTATGACAGAGTATGTGTATGCTTTTGCAAAATTAAAAATTTAAGCCTTGATGCGGCTGTAAGAACGTGCATTAGTGGGGGAATGTAGTAGTATCGTATCGGGTTGTCTGGAAAGTCCATGCCGATTCTTGATAGGTAGCGCAGGTCTGAATATGTTGAAATGGCTCAAAACAAATAACATATACGTACGTATATGTACATCCCTTAAAAGGTGGAAAGTTTGTGGAACAAAATGGTACCTGTGTAATTCAATAAATATATGTTACGATTCAAATGTGCCTTTGAAGTTTTCTTACAAATTGCCACGAACTTTCTGGACAATCTAATATAATTTATAAACGTGGATAAAGAATACAAAATTTGAATTGCTTGTTGGATGGTTTTCCAATCAGGAGGACTATTACGATGACGTGGGTTCACCTACGGCACTTCTCAACGGAGATCACACCGACGACCTAGCATCCAAAGATTCCGAGTGCATTTACGATGATGTTATGGCTCTGACCAGCGCGACATACGGTTCAGACAGTCGTTTTAAAGAGAGCGATTGCTCGAACCTCGTTGATAACGAGTCGAGTATCAAGAACGTATTGGGAAACGTTAACTGTGGTGACGACGAATCAACCCAAGAAGATTACGATCATTATCTGTTCGTTACCAACGATTATTCCAGCGTGGATGACGAGGAGACGAATGAAATGCAGGATGACGAACAGGGTGTATACGATGACGTCGGTTTACCGAGCGAAGAAAAAGTCAACAGTCTCTACGCAGGCTCCACGACTGGTTCTATCGTAGGCAAGGAATCCGAGTGGGAGGACCTGGAGGATCCGACGATAGGTCGTTCCTGTCTCGCGAGGAAGAACGATTTATCGTAAGTGTGGCTAAAAATTAGATCAGGTTGATGACTCAGTAACGACTCATTATTATGTAAGAATGATTCAGAGACCAATTAAGTCCTAATGAGTAAATAAAGAACCAGATAACAGGAACGAATACGTTGCAACAGCTTAAGACATTGAAGAAAGTAATCACTTGAATGTTATAATATATTAGGTTGTCCCAAAAGTTTCTTTCGCTTGATTAATAAGTAATACGTGCACGATATTTTATGTTTCATGTTACATTACTGAATTGTGCACGATTCATTTTCCTCCATTACTGTTACAACATGAATATCTATGAAATTAGATTGTCTATTTATATAAACACGACCACGTAAAGTAATTGAGCGAAAGCAACTCGCGAAAGAAACTTTCGGGACAACCTAATATTTACGAACATGTTAATTTGATTTTGGAAGAATGGTACCTCCTTAAAATTGAATGAGTTAACTTTAACATTTACTGGTACGATATTTGCAGGACGTATTTTTAAGGACGCATACTTTCAGAGAATCCTAATAAATGAAAGAGGAATTGATGTTTCGTAACGTTTTCTAATTCTTTTCTCGGTTTTCAGTGGGAAAAGCACGGAGACACAGGTCGTTTCCAGCAAGAAGAAGGCTGGTCAAAGATGGTCACGGAATGTGAGGCGGCAACGTTCCATGGCGTCCAGGAAAAGTCGGAAATCTGTAACCAAACCGATCCGCGATTCTGCGTACTGCGGTAAGTTATTATTATTATTCGGCTGTCTGGAAAGTCCATGCCGATTTTTAGTAGGCGGTACAGGTCTGAATATATCGGAATGGCTGAAAACAAATACATCTGTACATTCCTTAACAGGTGGAAAGGTTGTGGAACAAAATGTTACACATATAATTCAATAAATATTCTATATTAAAATTCAAATATGCCTTTGAATTTTTCTTAAAGATAGGCATGAACTTTCCGGACAACCCAATATTTTAATAGACCTCGTGTATTTAATAAGATAAGACAAATATCACAGTCTTAATCAAATGTCTATACTAGATTCTCTAGTTTAATGTTAAATGTTTATGTACAAACCAAAATAGTCGTTGAATTGCAACCTAGTACCCGTTCTCGAATCGACATAAAGAATCGAATCAAATAAGACAGCAAGAAATGCTGGTGCAACCGTTGCGTGACGCGTCACCGTTCGACACGATAATTCACGTTCACAGTTTCCGCATTAGCAGGTAGACAATCGTAGTTATTACATACCGTTACAATAATGCACCGTCCTACCCATCGATCGCGATAACTCGAGAATTAACCGATTTTCTTTCCGTCTTCGCAGAGACATTTTACCCCGCTTGTGCAGTTTGCGTAGATGAATGACAACGGCAGAAAGTAGAGATCCCTACTTCACGTGTATCCAAATAACCGGGTACACGGGTAATTAATGGCTCCGTGTTTTAATCCCTGTATTTTTAATACACGGGTACCCCGGGCATCGAGATACGCTGACACCCAGATATCTAAATACGCTGACACCCGGATATCTAAATACACGGATATCCAGGTACGTATACGTGCATCGAAATGCACGGGTACGGTATCCAATTATTTTTATATACAAACTTTTACATAATGATGCTATTGTTCTAAAGTAACGATCCTTATTAATTTTGAAAAAATTGATATGCAGTAAAGTAAATAAATAAATAAAATATAAGCATAAGAAGAATAAGTATAATAGAATACATTTTTTATTATAGTATAATTAGTAAAACTTTATTTACTAGTTAAAATAAATATTCGAGTCACGGGTAACAATAGATAATTCGATGTATGCGTACGCGTGTATTTCGAGGCACGTGAACGTACCTGGACATCCGTGTATTTCGATACCCGGGTACCCGTGTATTTAGATATCCGCGCGTCGGCGTATCTCGATACCCGGGTACCCGTGTATTAAAAATACCCGTGTTCTTAATCCCTTAATACTTCCCTTAGTACACGTGTTCCGCGCACCCGTGTATCTTAATACCCGTTCAAAACCGCGATCTCTAGTAGAAAGTCGTGACCATCGAAAACACTAGATATCGCATGCAGATATCAAATGGAAGATTCCCGAATGCTTACTTTCCAAGCAGATCATTCTTCGCAAAAGATACGAATGAAACATATTAAACACGCGTAGTATCCCATTCATTGCATCATGAAATTTACAAGCGCTTTTTTTTCTTTCTTTTTTTTTTTTTTAATCATTTTCTCATCGCATGTCGGTCGTACTAACTGTGCTTTTACGATGCACGGATACATATTTCGCAGCAATTTTTCCGTTTCTAACGAGTTTCACAATTAACCGTTTTCTACCATTGTCCTTTTACGCGGCTTCGGCGCGCAATTATACGCGCATCGGCAAACGTTTCCGTCTGGTTAGCCTGTTCCTTTTCGCTGTGGGAGAGTTAATGAATAAAACTGCAGCCTCTGACGACCGTAACGTTTTCTCACCAGCAGAAACAATTCGTTTTGTCGCGGCAGACGCGACGCAACTAACTGTAAGCCGGTAAGTGGTATGTAACGCTTTCTTTCTGCGAGACGAGTGTGCACGAGCAACGGCACACAACGGCGACACCTGTACAACAGTATGCGCTCTCTCAAAGTCTTCGGCGATGCTCATAATACGAAGGACACGCGAGAGAAATTCCAGAGAGTGGCGTTTACCTTGAAGAATTCGTGTACAATTTGTGCTGGGACGGGCAAAATGTATTTGAGAAAAGCGCTAGAACACTGCGAACACTTCTCTAATTGATATTCCGTTTGTATGCGAATGATTAAAAGTACGAGCACGTTGTAACGCGACAGCTGCGCAACTACGGAATAATTACTCTCATTCGGCCTCATTATCGAATTTAGAAGACGAAGACATCGTGTAATTGCCTGGTTAACGAATAACGAATACATTAGCATTTCATATTCGTTTTATTTCGCATGTGGAATACATTCTTATTCGTATGTACTTATATTTATGTGCCTGTGTACCTTGATAATTATACTCGTTTACTATCAGGTCGTCCCAGAAGTTTCTTTCGCTTTTATTAATAAGTAATACATGGACAATAATTTATGTTTTATGTCACATTACTGTATCGTGCACGATTCATTTTGCTCCGTTACTGTTACAACACGAATATCTATGAAATTAGATTGTCTATTTATGTAAACACGACCACATCAAATAATCGAGTGCAACTCGCGATAGAAACTTTCGGGACAACCTAATATATGCAGATTGCAAGTTGATCGACCGACAAACAACCCTATAGGAGTCACCAACAATCGCAAGATTAATACGCAGTGGTACGAATGAGTACGAAACACAAGTGCACGTCGATATTTGGTCACCGCGATACAACAAGTTGTTCGTCACACGTTCGCTATACACATTTCAAATTTCCGATGAAATTTCACTTACAAAATCATTCGTACGTGCCCATTCCTTAACACGTTGATCACCATGTCACCCACACGTGGGTGACACTGGTTTCCACCGAAGAACTAACAAAATTAATTCCGAATGTCAAGCATCACCGGAAACGAATTTAAACCAAATTCATGAATTTTGATGAAATTACAAGAATAAATACGACGATAAATGCTCGATTATGCAGTCTCCAATAGTTTAAATATGTAGTGTCCACGCCTCCAATACCCAAGAATAAGGAGTCAAATAAGAACACGAAACGTAGGATAAGGGATTGGTCTTGTAGGTAAAGCGGTCGACTGTGGATCCGAGGATCGTGGGTTCGAATCCCCGTGCCTTAATTTTCGGTTAGACTCCTACAAATAATATTTCATTTTAGTAGAAACTTTAAAGAATATTTGTCTGGCAGTCAACGTGTTAATTCGCGTTAAATCCGCAAGAAGGTCACGTATGTATCAACGAAAGTCCCATGCACTATACTAATACTAAAGCATGCTATACTAAAGTATTAGTGTAATTCAGTGGACCCATGAATCCAAATCACACACGTGTACTCATTTCTGTCGATTCATCGACTATCGCGAAACCGAAGCGAAAATAATTCCATGTTCCTCGGGGCGCGTTAATCAACGCCTCATTTAATCGAGAAACGTAGGCGATGTAATTGATTCGACTTAGCGATTTGCACCTAAACGTATCGAGTGTCAAGGTCGCGCGAGGTCCACGACACAACAAAGCGCCTACTCTCCATCGGTTCCGACTTCCGTTGCATTCGTACGTGAGCAGACTTGACACCGAGAGACACGCTCTTTGATATCGATAGACAAATGCAATCCTAAACATTAGATAGTGTTAGAGGTCGAAATGGACGCGCGATTTCGCTGAAAAAAAAAAAAAAAAAGAAGTAAACTTTGTTCTTCTCGAGATGAACGATGGAACAGCTCGCGCAATGCATTGTACCATACTATCGTCGAAGTAATCGCATAGTCGCGTATCCCAAGTAAAAGTTAGCCACTCGTGTTTTACGACGGACGAGGCACGCAACGTCTATAACACTGACGATCATATACAGAGTGTCCCAGCCTAAGTGATACAGAGCTCTAACTCCAAAACTATCGGCCGAATGGAAAATTTCAAATATGGAAATTGCATGGTAAAATGGTGCTCATGTTTCAGCGAGAAGGAATTTTTGTTAACTTTGTTATTTAACGAGATGTGATGGTCAAGTTTCGTTTATCAAATGAGAACTATATATTCTTTTTTATACCATGCGGTAGTATTTTTTCGAGATGAATTCATTAAGCTTTAATGTATTCACCCGATTTTTATTAGTTCTCGAGCTATAACGCTTCACAGTTTACTAATTTTCAGGGAAAAAACTCGGTTCGTCCGAAATGTTTCACATTTGCGCTTCACTTTCCTTTACGTTGGAATCGACGGAATTTGATTAAGTAACAATTAATCGTTTATAAATACAAGCTAAATACAAAGCTAAATTGTCCTGGGACGGACAAAATATATTTGAAAAAGTGCAAGAACCGCAAACACTTCTCTAATTGATATTATAAAATAAATACAAAGCTAAAGCTTTCTTTAGCAGTAAAAGATGTACCGTGTTGCGAGTAGCCTAAGACTTTTTCACGGTAATACACAGTGACTCCCAGAAATATTCGGACACCAGTGAATGGTTAGCTTTATGACTTAATATCGTAGTTATTAAAAAACTACTCGTCTTCGTTACTTTTTCCAATAATAAATCGTTTATTAACATTATGAATGATATATACATTAATCCAAAAATTTACATAAATTACATAATAGCAATAAACAAACGAAAGAATAGCGCATTTTCGGGTCACAAAAATATTCGGACACTATGAGGTATAAGATTTATTAATTAAAATTAAACATTATATGTTCCACATTAATATTTTGTTCCAAATCCCTTTTCTTTTATAATATGTCTCAATGGATTCGGCATATTGGAAATTATTTTTTTTTAAATATTCTGTCGAAATGAATGCCCATTCTTCTTGAAGCCTAATTTTAAGTTCTTCTTTGAAACGAATGGGTGTCTTGCGAATCCGTTGGTTCAACTTATCCCACAAGTTTTCTTTAGGGTTAAGGTCTGGTAATTGTGGAGGTGGATGAAGGACTTTGGGGCAATTATACAATAAAAATTCTTAGAAAATGCGCGACTTTTGTTTAAGATCATTATCCTGGTAAAATTTAAAATCTTCAGCAATCCCCATTTTTATCTGCACTTTGTTTT